AGCTGTTTAAGCTGTAAGCTGCTTGAAATGTTTAGACTTTTTAAAAATTATCCTCTTACTCTAGAGAAAAACTGCTGAAAAATGGGATCCCAATTATCTAAATATTTTGAGGGCAGCCCCCGCCCCCCACCTTACAGGGACTCTGGCTGATTTTTTGTTGTTGTTAATTTATTTTTTGGTCATGCAGTGCAGCCTGCGGGATCTTAGCTCCCCAACCAGGGATCGAACCCATGCCCCCTGCAGTGGAAGTGTGGTGTCTTAACCACTGGACCACCAGGGATGTCCGTCTGGCTGATTTCATGTTTAAAAACTGTAGCTCTTCCTCATAAGAATTTCTAACTAAATGGACCCACCTCACCAAATGCAATCTAGAATATAGATGGCCATTATGGGGAGCTTACTTTTCTTAAAACGGAATTGGACTATCAGAGCCCTAAAATTTCCAAAACTGAATGGAATGCGTATTTTGATTGGTATTTTGAGGCTTCCAAATGTTATCAGCAGCCTAAAACTGACTTTCTGCAAAATAAGACTTTGAGGCAAACAAATCATTAAAAAGATAGAATGGCTCCCAAAGCCTCAGGCTCTTCTTCCTTGGCTGCTTTGTCCTGGGCTCCACCTCCAGCAACATCCTGTCTCCCGCCCTCAGCCCCTTGTGCTCAGGCCATGCCTCCAGTGCCAACTTCCTGCTCTTCTGGGCCACCTACACCTGCTCTAGCTCCTCAGTTCCCCATACTAATTCTCTCACTGAACTTCCCTTTTTCTCTAAAACTCTCCCCACTCGCTTTTCCCCTGAACTTATCAGAACCTGTCCCTTTAAAATTAAGCCTCCTAAGAATCCAGACTTACACCCTTAATTTCGTATACTCCCTGGACTAAAGGTGAACTGTGAGCCACAAAGATGTTTCCAAAGTAACTGAAGATCCTCACAGATTTGCTGAGGAATTTAATATAGTCATTCAAACTCAGCAACCGGGTTTCTCTGACTTACATCAGCTAGTTCACATGCTTGTCGGTGAAGGCCAGGCTCAGCATTGGATGAGAACTGCTACTTGGGAAAATCCTAAAAGGCCTTTAGAATTACAACCAGGAGACCACCCTGCTAACTTACATGATCAGGCTCACGCAATGCTAGGCGACTTCATGGGGCAATTCCTGCAGCTTTTCCAAAGCCTGTTGATTGGAACAAAATGCAGGCTTGCACACAGTAATCTAATGAATCTGTTCGTGACTATTAACAACTGACTTCAGATTGTTTTTAAAGAAAATTCTGATCTTCCTTCAGATGTTAATTCTACCCAGGCAGCTTTTAACTCTATGTTTACTAGTGGGCTGAAGCAGGACCTTTCCCTTCTAGCAAAAAGGAACAGGATGGAATGAAAAACTGTGTCCACTCCAGATTTAGTTAATCTTGAAAACCAGTTCTCTTACTTTCTTAGAGGAGTCACCTAAAAGGGAGACAGCTAAACTCCTTTATCTTCAACTCCAGCAAATGAAGGCTCCTAAATGAAACCAAAACCCTCCTATTTGTTTTAGGTCAAATAGGTCCTAGTTTAGGCCCTACTTTCTGCTATTGTTGCAAAGAGCCTAGACTTCGGAAAAGAGACTGTACAAATCTAAGTGCTTCAGGCACCTTCAGTCTCCTAACCAGCTTTTCCACCATCCTCCCAATTCTCAACAACGGGGCTCTTCTCAATCTTCCCTCTTAACCGGCTTAGAGAAACGTTTCTCCAGATTGGGGGTGAATCTCTTCAGTCCTAATTGACACTTGGAGCCACTCTCAAGGCTCAGCCCCACTACTATAAAGCAGCCCCTGCCTCAAAGTGAACAGTTCAAATAGTGGGGATCTCCAATGAACCTCAACAGGCTCCTGTCTCTGAACCTATTCCACTCTGTTTAGGCCCTCTGAGAGATACACACACTTTTCTTCTTAGTTCCTCCACCTCTATCCATTTATTATGCCGAGACTTCTTAGAGAAGCATCAGGCCAGAAGTTCTTTCTCCCAAAAGGGGGAAATAATTCCAGAATTTGACAGTAGTCATCAGAGTAAACAACAATGTGAATTAAACGACTCTTTGATATCTTTCATTTGCTCCATCTCTGATGATACTAGAGCTGATTCTGGAAACACAGATCATTTGTCCCTATTGAATCAGCTACCATCCTTTTTATGGGCAAAATCTCCACTGACACTGGCAAAATTCACAGCATATCTCCCATGGAGATTCAAACAGATCTCTCAAAATCTCTTCCCAGTATTGACAATGTATAAGTAAAGAAGCCATCCCAGGCATAAAGCCTGTAATTGAAGATTACACGGTTGAGGGCCTCATTAGTCCTTGTACTAGCCCTTGTAATACTCCCATTTTACAGATGAGGAAACCTAAAAGCCAAGGGTGTAGGTTTGTCCAGAACCTCCAAGTAATAAACAACATAGCTATCCCTTGACACCCTGTTGCGCCTTTCCTACGTTCCTAACAGTCATTCCCATAGGAGGTAAATTCTTTACTGTAACTTGATTTAGGCAGTGCATGCTGTAACATTCCGGTTGAACCTAGCGAATAACTTTCTGCCTTCACTTGAGAAGAAAACCTATTCACCTGGACAGTAAGACCTCATGGTTTTACTGAGTCCTTATTTCTCCTAACTCCTGAAGGCTGATCTGGACGATACAAAGTTCCCTAGAGGTTCTACTTTGCTTCAATATGTGGATGATTTGCTTCTTTGCTCTTTCTCAAACCTCCTCACTGGAAGTCATCATCCACCTGCTAACGATTTCAGCCTTAAAGGAACATACGGCAGTGAGGATAAATTGCAGTTTGCCCCAAACCCAGGTTCATTGTTTACGGCATCTGATATCAGAACAAGGGCTACACTTAGTTCCAGACAGACTTCCTGGTGTGCTAAGTTTCTCTAAACCCAAAACTAAGCACCAACTGTGAGGTTTTCTTGGGCCAGTTGGTTATTGCCAAAATTGAGGTCCAAATTTCTCTCTCGTGGCCAAACCTCTGTTTTACTGAAGCACAACTCCAATCCAATTTTATGGGAAGAACCAGATACACAGATTTTAAGGACTTACAGGAGAGTTTGAAGAACCCACCTGCCCTTAGGCAACCCAATGATCAGATTCCCTTTTTGTATACGAAAAAGAAGGGAATGCCCTTGGGATACTCACCCAAAAGCAAGGAGACCCCCGTCGACCCATAGGGTATTATGGCCAGCAACTGGACCCTGTAACACGGAAATACCCTTCTCGCCTCGAGCCATCACGGCCACTGCCCTTGTGGTTAAGGCCGCTGAGAAAATCGTTGTGGGATCTCCTTTACTCATTTCTGGACCTCATGCAATAGCCCTCCTGAATTCTCATCACACTCAACATTTCTCAGTCAGCCGTCTCACCTCCTTTGGAGTCCTTTTGTCAGCTGCTCTTCACATAACTCTTCTACGTTGTAATAACCTTAACCCTGCTACTCTTCTCTCCTCTGTCACTGAGGAAGTCCCTCACAACTGCTTAACCCTTGCTTAACCCTGACAGACCACCTCCTGACTCCTCATAATGATGTCTAGGAAATTTCAGTCGGTAACACTGATTTCTCACGTTCACTGACGGTTCTTATTTAAAAGGGGACAATGGCAGATGTTGTGCTGGGGATGTTACTGCAACTTCTTTTGATGTTGCTGAGGCAGCATCTTTACCTACGGCTACTTTGGCCCAACAGGCTGAATGATACGCTCTCACACAGGCTTGTACTTTAGCCAAGGACAGAACTGCCAATATCTATATCGATAGTAGATACGTTTTCGGAGTAGCTCATGATTTTGGAATGTTGTGGAAGCAATGTGGCTTCCCTATTTCCAGCAGAAATAAAACTTAAAATGGCCCCCGGGTTCAGGAATTATTGGATGCAACACTTTTATCCACCCTTGAGTTATTAGTAAGATTCCAGGGCATTCTAAACTGGACTCTCTGGAAGCTAAGGTAAATCACCTTGCCGAAATTTCTGCAAGGAATTCCGCCTTTAAAGGAACCACAGCAGCTAAACTTCTGTCATGGTCCAAAGGGATATTTCCTCAAGTGATACCTTGAAAAACTGGCTCGGGAAGCCCAAAGACTGGCCTCGGGAAAAGAAAAACAAGATTGGGAATTCAACGACTGTTGGTTTGATAAAAAAAGAGAAAGCTCTGGTTCAGGCCAAGTAACAACCCAGTCCTACCCACTCCTCACCACTGTACATGCATTAAACCACTGGCCTAACAAAATGACAGCCTTCATGAGTCAGTACTGGTGGGGAAACACTAGCAACGCCACAGAAAGCACCTACTCATTGCTCCCCTTGTCTGAAGTACAACCCAGGGAAGTCTGACTGTACTGCTCCTGGACGTTTTAAATTGCCTGATGGAGCATTTGAGATCTGGCAAATGGATTTCATACAATTTCCTCCACTTCGTGGATGTAAGTATGTTTTAGTCATGGTATGTATGTTTTCACACTGGACTGGAGCTTGCCCTTGCAGATAGGTTACTACCTCTTCTGTGACTCAAGTGCCTTGGGAAAGATTATCCCTACCTGGAGAACTCCGCTTCAACTTCATGATGACAGAGGAACCCATTTCACTGGCCAGGTGCTTCAAAAAGTCTGTGCTGTTTGGCCAGTTTTACACTTTCACTGCACTTACCACCCCCTACCCTCTGGTTTGGTCAAACACACTAACAGCATTATTAAGACTCAACTGGCAAAACGTGTAGAGGCCCTCCAAATACCTTGGTCAAAAGCATTGCTGTTGGTCCTTCTAAATCATAGACCCACCCCCTTTGGAACTTTTACACCCTTTGAGGCAGTCACAGGATGCCCAGTGCACTTGGCTCCTGCCTCTTTTTTTTTTTTTTTTTTTTGCGGTACGCGGGCCTCTCACTGCTGTGGCCTCTCCCAGTTGCGGAGCACAGGCTCTGGACGCGCAGGCTCAGCGGCCATGGCTCACGGGCCCAGCCGCTCCGCGGCATGCGGGATCTTCCCGGACCGGGGCACGAACCCGTGTCCCCTGCATCGGCAGGCGGACTCCCAACCACTGCGCCACCAGGGAAGCCCAGCTCCTACCTCTTTTGACCCACAACCAATAAGAAGAGAGATACTCCAATACTGTAAAGGCCTAATTGCTTCTATTAAAAATAACCATGTTTTGGTAAGCAACCTTTTCACAGTGCACTCTTGGGAGATGAAGACCTTAAACATCACACCCTGCAACCTGCAGGTTTCATCTATTGGAAAAGACACCTCCAGAAGGACTCTCTTCAACCTTGCTGGAAAGGCTGCTATCAGGTACTGCTAACCAACCCTTGTGCTGCAAAACTCCAAGGAATACAACTCTTGGATTCACATGACACACCTAAAGAAAGCACCAAACCCTGTCTGGACCTGCAAATCATCTGGTGACCTGAAAGTAAACACTTCCCTGAACTGAAGCAGACGACATCCGATGAGCCAGCTTTCCAAAGATATTCAGACTAGGCCTGTTGGAATTTTGTCACCAGACCTTTGATTACATAAGGCTTCAGATAATCTCTACCGTTTAGGATCTTGGTAAAAGACATGGACGTCAGATAAAAAGTGCCTAAGAGTTGTCCCTCCTACCCCTCCTTGTTACTTAAATATAACCTCAATAGATCTCCAATCTGTGCACTTTCCCTCTGATGTGGGACACTACACCCAGGAAACGTCCTTCCTTGTATTGAGGAACAGAAAGACCCTGAAACTGGAAAGCCTGACTCAGATTAGTGATGCTTTCAGAGATGCATCTTGATCGAAAGGGGAAGTGTAAAAACATTAATAAGAGTTGGGAGACCAGAAGGGGGAGGGCTCATGCCCTGTGATGGTAGCAGAGCCCAAAAGAAAGAAAGATCTCCTCTTCGTTCCTGACGAGGACTCGGCCAATGAAAAGCCATGGACTCTTGTTTACTATAGCCTTCCCAAATTCCTTTTCCCCTCTGTAAGAGCGTTTTCCTTTCCATTTTTGCTGGGGACTTGCACATGGCTTGCCATGGCTGCAGACCCATTCTCTGCTGATCCTGAATAAACCCATTTTTGTTGGAGAAATAACTGGAAGTCTATTTGTCTTAGGTCCACATCCCCCACCCTCACCAGCACCCCGTAGCAGACCTCTGGGCAGAACCAATGCCCATGCTCCCCGGTCACCCACACCAGCAACACGTTCAGAAAATACAGCTTAGTTTGTTCCACATGCTCATTTCATGACAGCTTGAACTGGGTGTATGTGGGGGGCTGGTGGTCCACACAGACAGGGCTCCCACTTGGGAGGGGTGAGGACTTGGGGCAGCAGTGCATCTTCCACCTGGAAACATTCAGGGACCAGAACACGCACAGCGTCTGGCTCACATGGCACCCTCCATTTCCAGAGAGCGGAAGTGGGGGCCAGCTAATAGGATCAGGCATTTCTTGGCTGGAGGGGAAGGTACTCAAGGCCCAAGAGTCTGAAAATGTCTTCCTCTGAAGCCACGTGGAGAAACGTCTTCTGCAACAGAGTGCAAGCACGAGTGCCTGGGAGCCACTCCACCACGCGGCAGCTTCCCGGAGACAGGTGTGGGGAGGAGGCTGGAAGGGCAGGCAGAGCCCAGCCCCGCGGTGGGGTGCTTCTTGAGGGCCCTGTGGGTCCCAGGTTGGAGGGCCCTGGGGCCGACGCAGACTGTGGGCCGGGCAGAGAGCCGTTTTCCCCACCCAGGCCTCCCGTCCCAGCAACACACCTGCCCCGGATCAAACAGACCATGGCTGTTCAGCCAGAGCCCTTCCGGCTCTCCCTCCAGCTGAAGCGGCGCAGCTCCCGCTCGAAACGCTGGGGAAGAGTGACTGCATCAGCAGGGCCGCCAACCCCAGACCCCAGGGTGGCCGCAGCAGCACACTCCCTACCTTGGAGCCAGTCCAGCCGAGTAGCGCAGAGGGGAACTGGCTGATGGGGGTGACCACCAGGTGGTCGGGGTGGGGCAGGGCCTCTGGGCGCCCCTACAGCATCCCCTGGGGGTTGTGGCAGGTGGAAAATGCAGAAAGTCCCCTCGAAGGCATCTATGGTGTGGCTCTGCCGGTGCAGGTGGGTGGGGTCGTCTGCCTGCCATCTGCGCTGGTGCTGGCGGTACAGGACAAGGTCCTGGGGGAGAGCAGACATGGCCGGGCACCGCCATGTGGGGCTGGGACAGGAACCAGGATCCTGGCAGGACCGTCAGCAGGGGGAGCAGGAAGCCCCTAACCTACTTCTTCAGGCAGCACATCACTCTGGGCAGCAGCCCTGCCTCCCGGCCCTCCTGGGGGTGGGTGATGAGGAAGTCCACGTCGTGGCCCTGAGGGGGCCAGTCTGACTCTCAGCCTCCGTGTTCTCCCGAATCCCTTCAGTGAGGGAAGGCCCACCTCAGTGGTCCCGCCTCAGACGCCTTCACTGGGAAGGGCCTGGAGCTGAGCCGGAGGGCGTGTGGAGCCCCCTGACCTCCGGAAGCCGCCGGTCAGCGCGACCATGGCCCCAGGAAGGGCCTGCCCCACGGCTGCCTCCACCGCCTGCTGCAGGGTCTCCACATCTGACCGCAGGATCCGGGTGCTCGGGTCCTGGTGGTGCTGGAGTCCTGTGGGCAGCACAGCTCTCCTGACCTGCCCAGCCCGGCCCTCTCTAGCTGTCTCCCACTAGCCCCTCCTCTCCCTTAAATATCAAACGCTTATTCTGAAACAATTGTAGGCTCACATGCAGTTGAAAGAAATAACAGAGATCCCCTGTGCCCTCTGCCCAGTTCCCCACAGCGGTAACATCTGGCAGAACTACTGTAGGTCACACCAGAATTCTGATGCTGACACAATCAAGATACAGACTATCCCTTTCAACGCCTCGGTTTTCCCATCCATGAAACGGGGCCGGGAGGTGATAAAGAGATGTGAAGATGGCTCTGCCGCTGAACAACACCTCGCTCTAGCCCGCGTCCACCTCCTCCCCTGTCAGAGGGATCACTGGGCCTTCCACACACACAGTTAGGAGAGGTTTACGTGAGGGAATAAACGGCCCCGGGCAGGATGCGCGCTCAGTAAGCGCTGCGGGCCTCTCCTGCGGGGAGAGAACACTGAACGGAACCGACGGATGCCACCATCACGCTCCACCGGACGCACGGCTCTGTGGTCTCACGTCCTGCTGACCGGCCAGGAGACTCTCCCAGGACCCCCAGCTGGCCTCCCCTCCCCCAGCCCCCAGGAAGATGTTCAAAGAGGCAACGAGTGCTGGGCTGTGGGGCTCCTTCAGCAGGGTCCCCGATCCAGGCCACACGGAGAGAACACAGAGTCTGCTCAACACCTGCGACCTGCTGGCCTCACGCCAAGGAGCTCACAGGATTCCCATGCTTTACAGAGAACGTAATTCAGGCTCAGAGAAGTCAAGACTCAGGGCCACGGTCTCCTACCTAGTAAGCGGCAGAGATGGGACTCAAACCCAGGCCTGACAAACTCTCAAGTTCACGTCTCTCCACCGCTCGGCACCACCTCCCACTAGCAGGCTCCTCACTGAGCCTCTCCCCGCTGAGCACAGGTCCCCACGCCATCAGCCAGTGGGCCAAGGCGCCAAGCAGCACACAAGCAAGTGTGCCCAGGGCCCGGGCTGCTCTGACATGCCCTCCCCTCTACGGAATCAGGAGTAAGGGGTACATGCCTGGTCCAGGCCCAAGTCTAACCAGGAGGTCCTGAACGGCACGGCAGCTACTCTGACCATTATCGCTCACTGAGAAGGGGCTGCACCGGGTCCTGACTCCACTGGGTCAGGAAGTCCACCAAATAAAGATGCCCGTCTTCACACTCACCCCATTCCCGGCCACATAGGCAGCCACGAGCATATGCCATGCGTCAGAGCTAAGGGCTCCATGGTGTGGGAGGCTTTCAGGCACAGGTGCTTTGGGGAAGCCCAGGGCCCAGCGCTCCCAGAGGGCTCACCTGCTCTCTGCTCTGGGGCTGCTCTCGGAGGTCGTCCAGCGTCCGCAGCCCCTCCTGGTACCACCGGTCAGCGGTCCTTAGCCCGACCCCAAAGATCTGAGTGAAGAGCTGTTCTGAGGATGAGCACAGCACACTTGGTCAGGAGCAAACTCTTACAGCGAGATGCAGATGACGACACTGATCCGTGCAAGGCGTGTCCCAGGACAGCACCACTGCAGCGTTACACAAGTGGCCTCATTAAGTCTTCGTCTGGCCGGGCAAGTGGCATCCCCACTCACATTCTTCAAGTTTAAGCAACGTGCTCAAGCCCACACAGCAAGTGCACAGGCAGGACTCAAACCCCGAGCCTGGCCTACACAGCCCACCCTCACAGGGGACAGCAGGGAAAGACCCCACGTGCTCCCTCCCCAGGCCTCGGTCCCCTCCTCGAGCAGGGTCTCTCCCCAGAACTTGTACAGTTCTAGCCTATGATTCCAACATCACCAAAGTAGGCGACCTGACAGTCCGTCCATTCACTGGGAAAACCATACCATCCCACCCAACAGCAGCTGGGACTTATTACTGTGGCTCTGCCTTTTAACAGGCAGCAAAAAGGGCAGTTAATAGCCAGGGGGTTGTTTTAGCAGGATCTGGAAGGAACAGGTTAGGGCTGGCTGGGGCTCTGTTCCAGGTTCAAACATGACAATTGCCACTGCCTGGCCACGGGTCAGCAGAGATGTCCAGGCCAGTGGAAACTAACTATGCTGCTGGAGCTGACCTCTCGTGGGGTGGCCAGCTGCCCTCACACGGGTATCCCACACCCAGGGTGGGCGCTAGCAACTCACCTGTTTCTTCCTTGACTATAGCTCGTTGGACAGGGGTGGGCACTTGCCCTAGGCCAGCCACTCAGAGCCCCTCCCCAGGGACTTCTGAAACACAGAGCAGGCCCAGGGGAGGAAGAACAGCTGGGTGGCACTCGTGTCCCTGAGCCCCACTTCCTGCAGACCAGCTGTAGCCTGCCCTTTTGGGACTGTGCTGGCCATCCTTCCCTAGATCCCCTGAACCAAGAGCATGAACTGGATGGGAAAGATGCTGAGAATAACCTAATCATGCTGTTTATAACAGTAAACTTCTAACTGTTCACGTACTTCTCTCCTGGCCTGGATGCCTTCTGGGACTCAGGGGTACCCCGGGGGAGGTAGCAGATGACTGTGCCCTCTCCCAGCGCTTCTCCAGCCACTAATTCCTGTGTTGCCTCCACACCCCTGAGCCCCCCACCCCCCGTCCTTTACACAGGGTTCCTCTCCCTTTTTGAAGCCCCCCCCCCCGACCAGTCGCTGATCTGACAACCTCCAGCCACAAAACCAGGGTGTCTAAGGAGCCCGACCAAGGCATCCACAAGAGCTCTGGCAGCTCCGTTATCAGACCAGAAATGAGTGGGACCAGCGGGAAGGTGCGTCGTGGACACAGGCAGGACGCCACCAAGAAAATGAGTACGTGAGGTCACAAAGGTGGAGACACTGCGAGGGTGAGCAGCCCCACAGATTTAACGGTCCCCGTGGCACCCGGAAAAAGGTTCTGTTTTGTTCAGTATGCTCTGTGTAAAATGCCAGAGCATGTGATATACTTGAGAATATGCCATCAATAGTCAAATAAGAACACATGGTGCCGAGTGATCTAGAAAATTCCCTGTGCTCAAAACAAGCTTCTCGTCCGCCTCCATCTGGCTGCCTCGTGTATATCGGGTGTCGGCTGACCTGCCAGTTCCTCAGTGAGACCTTCTCTGACCCTGGGGGGGACCCACTGCCCCCACTTTCCACCTGACATGGCATGAACCATGTGCTGTGGCTCTGGGGGAGGACCGTGGAGCTCCGTGCCCCTGCCGGGGGCTGCCCTGTGTACCTTCATGGCCTGGTACCTCTCCGAGAGCCGAACTCTCTCCACCTCCTCACACACTCCGCGTTCCAGCAGCTCCTGTGGGAGAAGACAAGGCCTGACTGGCAAGAGGAGACCTGGGTGCCCAAGGCCCAGCAGGGGGGCTTTGTGGGAGCAGGATCCCGGGGGACTTGGAAATGAAGACTGTGCCCAGGGAGCCTCCAAGCCCCTAGGGCGGGGAACGTGGGCCACCTCTCAGATAAATAGCAAGCCCTGGGATACGTAAACAACTGCTTTTAAAACATAGGTGAATTCAGCAAGACTTCATTTAAAAGCTCAAGTGGGGCTTCCCTGGTGGCGCAGTGGTTGAGAGTCCGCCTGCCGATGCAGGGGACGTGGGTTCGTGCCCTGGTCCAGGAAGATCCCACAATGCCGCGGAGCGGCTGGGCCCGTGAGCCATGGCCGCTGAGCCTGCGTGTCCGGAACCTGTGCTCCGCAACGGGAGAGGCCACAACAGTGAGAGGCCCGCGTACCGCAAAAAAAAAAAAGTTTAAGTGAATTCAAAAGTATCTTTTCCATCGTGATATACTTGCTCAGTGGTAAGTGTACAAAAGGACAACTTCACATTTGGGGTCCTCAAATACTTCGCATTGTAAAAAGAGGTGCGCATGCTCAGGGGTCCTCTTCCACCATCCGGGACAGTCTGCGCTGGTCCAAGTGGAGCCAGCTACCAGCCTGCCGCGCTCCCGGCAGCTCCCTTGGCTGAGCCCCTTCGGTCCCCCTAGGGCAGGTGCTGTGGCCCCCATTCACACGTGAGGAATCTGAGTGAAGAGGGTGGCCGGCCACAGCTGGGCTCTGAGCCACCAAGCCACCTGCCCTTGCCAGGCCCTGAGGCCCCCTCACCTCCCCCCACCCCGCCCTGCTAAGTGCGGGGAGCACCGACCTGGACGACCCTGAACGAGCGTTCTCCAAAGTGGGCCAGGCCACGCAGCTGGCTCAGGGCTGTGACCGGGCTGGGAAGGGCCTTGAGCGCTGAGGCTGCTCTGCACAAGGAGAGTTGGCGGCACTCACTGCCGGCGAAGCCCGCGGCCTCCGCTAGCGTCTCCAGAGCCTACTGCAGGGAGGGGCCCTTGGGGAGGGGCAGGGATGGCGGGGTACCTCACCCCACCCGTCCCTCCAAGGCTGGGACAGGGGAGGGCCTGGCCCCATCCCAGGGAGGCAGGGGACCCAGGGCTCACCGAGAGGCCGGCGTGGTGGTGCGTGAGGGGTGTGGGCCGCTGGCAGGCACAGGGCAGCCTCCATGCTGGGCGTGGCGGCCCCTTCCCGCACACAGCCACCTGGGGAAGGGCAATATACAGGCTGCTTCGAGGCTGCAGGGTGGGCAGGGGCCAAGGAAGCCCCCCGGAGCCCTGCCTCTCCTGGGTGGTCACCTAGGGCTCTCGGGACAGACGGGGCCGACTCTCAGAGGGCACAACTGCCAGAGGCACGGGGCAGAGGCGGTGTCGCCCTGCAGAGGCCAGAGCGGCAGCAGTGGCACCAGCTGCCACCGCACGTGCTGTATGTGCCCCACCTCCCAGAACCCCCTCCGGCAAGTGGGCTGGGGTGCCTGTCACCCCCACTTCACAGACGGGGACACCGAGGCCTCATGGCTCACAGGCAGAGTCAGGATTTGAATGCGGGCAGCCCTGCTCTGAGCCCACACCTGCAGCCCCCAGCTGTGCTCACCCAGGAAGCACAGAGGTGGGCGGAGGCCATGAACCTCACAGCACCCCGAGGACGGCCTCCTGCTGGCCCCACTTGGGGTCACAGTCTCTCCACTTGGTAAGCAAGAAAGGCCTAAAGATGCCAAAAATAAGTGGATCTCAAGAGAGTTTGCACCAATGGTGAGAGGAGAAGCGGGAACGGCCTGGCTTCCCAGGGCCCCTTGGTGGTCCGGGCTGAGCCCTCACCGCCCACCTCATGTGAAAGACACTGAGGCACGGCTGCCGTGTCACCTGTCCCAGCTGAGCTCTGGCCTGCGCTGGGGCCTTCTCTGGGGCCCCACCCTCATCCTTCACCCAGCTCACCTCCAGGCAGTGCCGGCACTCCACAGGGACTGGCTGCCCAGCCGCCATGCTCTCCGTGAACCAGCTTACGTCTAAGAGCACTGGGCGGGTGCATCCTGGGTGAAGGGCCGCCGTCCTGCGCTCCTGCTGGCAGACGGTCTCCTCTGCTGAGATCCCCTCCATCATGACGTGTGTCACCTCTGAGCTGGGCGGAGGGAAGAAGAGGAAGTGAGGCCCAGAGCCCTTTCCCAGACCTGCCATTCTTCCTGCTGCACTCCATGCCTCCAGGCCTTTGCTGTTACTATCCCCTCTGCCTGGTGACCACCTATTCATTCTTCAGAAAGACCTCCCAGCCCCTCCTCTTGGCAGACAAACATCTCCACCACTCCAGCATCCGCAGAGCTGTGCGTGGTTCTCGGCTCTAGCTATGATGAAAAGACCAACCCTTTTTTGTGTTAACTTGTCTGTCTCCCTCTCCCCCCAACCCCAGAGGAAGGAGAGGCCAGGGGTACAGGGGCCAGGACCAGGAGGGGGTCTTCATCGAAGTGCTGGAGACAGACTGCTTGGGTTTGAACCTCAGCTCTGCCACACACTTGCTATGTGCCCTTGGGCACATCACTTATCTCTGTACTTTGACTGCCTCATCCACAGAGCAGAGATAATAACATATCTTCTTTGCAGGGTTGCTGTAAAGATTAAATGAGCTAATAAGCAAAACGGCTTAGATAGTGCCCAGTACATTCTAGGCTGTGGTCATCATCCTCTCCTGAGTGGGTCTGCTGCACCCCTGGGAATGGTTAACTAAGCTTCAGGGGGACTGGCCCCTGATTCACTTGCTCTTTCAACTTCAAAACCATGGGAACCCTCCTCCCTTACTTTCAGCATTGCTTCTGTAGTGGTTTTGTTTTTGTTTGGTTTTCTTCTACTCTTTGAGCCTCACTCAAGTCACTTTCTCAGCCCTGAGGAGAGAAATCAGTTTAGCTAACAGGGCAAGATGAATCCACCTAAGGAAGGACTGTTAACCACCGCTACACTCACATGGCCCTTTATAAAGCCTCCGGCATACATTCTCTCCTTGTCCTACAGAAACACTCCTGACCCTAACTGCTAACACCCTTTTACAAAAGAGGAAATTGACAGGAAGGCTATATGACCATGACATGCCAGGGCTAACTTGGAATCCAAACACCTCAGGTGCCCCTCCGCTCCGGGGTCAGCTGCGTGGGAGTCGTTTCAGATCTCAATATCCTCAGCAGTAAGGAAACAACATACGTGAATGTGGCTGATCAGCTGCAAAGTTCCGAGCACGGGCATCTGTGTTCAGGCCATCACGCCACTCAGCAGCATCTCCCGGCCCACCGGGCGCGACGGCATGGTGATACCTATACGGGCGTGCCACGTTCCCCGGTGAGGCGAGGCCGTGGGCGCCGGACCCGCCCCGCGCCCCTCAGAAAGGTCGGCCCTAGGAAGGTGGCCTCGCCTGGCGGCGAGCTTCGCCACGACCGCGCACCTGTAGGCGTCCAAGACGCGGAAGCCCTTGGAGAGAGCCAGGCGTGTGAGGAAGGCCCGGCGGTTGCGGACCATGCGTGGCTCAGCCAGGCAGACAGTGACCCCAGGGAAGCGTGCCGCGGAGGAAGGGGCGGTGTCCGGGGTCCCGACCCCCGCTCGCCGCCGTTTTGGTAGCATTCGTCCCCTGTCCGCGGGTGGCGCCTGGCGAAAGCAGAGAGAAGCTGGACAGAAGCCGGAAGGAAGGCGAGCGGAAGCCGCACGGCTGCCGGAAGCCAGCGGGCGGAAGCCAGCGGGAGGAAGCCAGCGGGCGGAAGCCGACTGGAAGGGGAAGTGGCGCCCGGCCACTCAAGGAGGCAGGCCCCGCCCCATGCAAATTAAGTCTCTGGGCGGATTTCGCCCCCAGGGTCGTTTGGAGCGAGGTAGAGGTCCCGGGGTTCCACCTGATTGGGTGTTCCGGCCTCTCAGCGCCAGAGGCCCCGCCTCTATGCAAATACAGCCAGAGCACACGCCTTTTATTTAAATTACACTCGCGGAAAGTCCCGTCCCATCCTTGGGACCACCCGGGAGGAGAGACTGGGTTGGAGGGTAGGGGGGTCGGGTAGAAGGGGTGCGCGCAGAAGTTGGAAGGGAGGAGGCGGAGGTTAGGGAAGTCGTCCTCGGAGGCTAAGAGGGGAGATCGAGGTGGGGGTATCCGGGGATCCGTCCTCGGCGCGTGGGGGGAGGGAGATGTTAGTGGTGGGTCCTTGGCGGGTAGGAGAGGGATCCGTTCTCAGCAGGATAGGAGTATCCGCCCCAGCCCCTGCTGTTCGCCCCTGCTATTCGCCCCCTCCGACTGGGTCGGGCTGGACCGATGGGCACCGGAAACCTGGCGGCGCCAGGCTCCTGGATAGCGGGCCCGGGCAGATGCGCGAGTGAGCGTGCTGGTGGAACGACCGCGACAAACCCCTGGAAAGGGTTTTCAGTCTTTCTCAATCGAATGGCGTTAAGGACGACTGGCCGGCCACTTGGAAAAATGGAAGTTGGATCCCTCCCTTACTGTTTAACACCAAAATAAAATCCAGATGGATCAAATATTAAAATCTAAAAAAGAAAAAAAAATGTACTGGGGAGTCGATGAATGTTTTTATGGTCTAAAGTATCACAATAAACCTGAAGACACTAAAGGAAAAGAATGGTAAACTTGAAGACATACAAATTTAAAATGTATTTAAACATTAAAAGGCAAACCAGGGCTTCCCTGGTGGCGTAGTGGTTGAGAATCTGCCTGCCAATGCAGGGGACACGGGTTCGAGCCCTGGTCTGGGAAGATCCCACATGCCGCGGAGCAACTAAGCCCGTGCGCCACAGCTACTGAGCCTGCGCGTCTGGAGCCTGTGCTCCGCAACAAAAGAGGCCGCGACAGTGAGAGGCCCACGCACCGCGATGAAGAGTGGCCCCTGCTCGCCGCAACTAGAGAAAACCCTCGCACAGAAACGAAGTCCCAACACAGCCATAAATAAATTAAAAAATAATAATAATTTAAAAAAAGGCAAACCAGGGGAAGAGTGTGACACATTTTGAATTTAAATCTAATTCCTGTAATTATGAAATTGTCCACGGATTAATAAGGAAAAGACGACAAGCAAGAACACCAGTAGGCAATTTACAGAGGAAATGCTACTCAAAAACATACCAGATTCCCTGACTCGTCCAATCAGGGAAGGGCAAACTTAAATGAGAGTATCTTCACTTATCGCATTATCCGACGTTTACAAAATTGATCACACATGAGGGAACTGGCAGATTGTAGGAGGGACTTTTTGGAAGCCAATTTAGCAACCATAGCCAACAAAATGAAAACAAAAATCTCACCCAGCAATTCCTTTTCCAAGATTGGTATTGTGTTGAATCCCTAGACCAGGTTGGGAAAGCTGACATCTTGACAACATCGAGTGTTCCTGTATGTCTCTCATATTTTCAGACACTACGCTTTGGAATCTCTTTGTTATGCTATGTGATCTCCTCAGTCTTCCCTGCCTGCGGCACAGGGCTGAAACAGGCTGGTGCCTCAGCCCAGGCCTCCTCTCAGCCTCCACTCCAGCTCCTGACCTGCCCTCCTGGGCCCATGACACACACCCTGGCTGGGAGGCCTGGGATGCGGCCCCTCTCTCATTTCCTGTGCTCGTTTCTCCTCCTGCCATCTGGGAAGGGGGAGCTCCCAGGCTCTCTGCAAGGAGTCCGTGTTCCCCATCTGTGGGTTCTGCCTTTCCTCAGAGAGCAGCAGCCTATCCCCTGAAACAATTTCCATTCTTCTTGATGGCCTCTGTCTCCATCCCAGGCACCTGGGTTCTCTTTTGGGGCAGCAGAGGCAGCTTTTTTTTTTTTTTTTTTTTTTTTTTTTTTTGCGGTACACAGGCCTCTCACCGCTGTGGCCCCTCCCATTGCAGAGCACAGGCTCCGGACGCTCAGGCTCAGTGGCCATGGCTCACGGGCCCAGCCGCCCCACGGCATGTGGGATCTTCCCGGACCGTGGCACGAACCCGTGTCCCCTGCAACGGCAGGCGGACTCCCAACCACTGCGCCACCAGGGAAGCCCCAGAGGCAGCTTTTAATGACCCATCGCACCTGAATACTTAAAATACTGGGCAACTTGCAAAAATGAGGATTTCCACAGGCCCAGGGAAGTTTTGTGAGGGGTGATCCTCAGTGCCCACTGAGTGGAGGCCTGGGCACAGGTGGGCAAAGCCACAGCATCGATGGTTGGCGTGCTCCTCTCCTCCCCTCCCTGGACCACCAGGTCACTGTCCATCCAGCTGGGAAGCGGAGACCTCAGCCCTCTATCTCCGATAAACCTGTCTTGGGGTTCCCAAATGTCTAAGTCCCCAGCTCCCTGCTGCCCACGCTGAGACCACCCCCCCAAAAAAAGTCAGAGGCTGCACAGGTGATCTCCTGGCTGGGCCCTCTCGGCAGCCCTGAGGGTGGCAGTCCTCCCTTGTGTTCTGCACTGTGCTTTCTCATGCTGTGTTTTGGATTAGTTTTACCCAGATGTATGAGCTCGCATCTTTCCAAGATGAATCTCATCTAGCTATTTCCTGTTCCCACTTCCAGTTCAGAAAAGGCCCCTGGGGGTGATTTTTCAGTCCTTGTGACCTTCATAAAACCTCCCCATGGAGCACCGTCTTTGAAGTCCGCTTCAGTGCTGTTGGCGCCTGTCCTTGGCCTGTGGGGCCGGGACTCTGCCTGGCTCTGAGGCCCAACCCCCCACCGATTCCCGTCTCCTGCGGGTTACTTGCCAGCTGCATTCCAGAGGGTGTGCGGTCAGCCTGCTGATGCTGTCAGACTGGAGCTCCTGAGGACCACTGGCCCAAAGTTCTGACCTCTAGTGCCACTCCCTGGACCTTCCTGAGCTACCCACTGCATCACTGTGGGTTTGGGCTATCTGGTGCATCAGTCTGCCCAGGCTGACAGAACAAAATACCACAGACAGGGCAGCCAAAACAAAAGAAACATTTCTTATTATTCTAGAGGCCGGAAATCCAGGATTAGGGTGCTGGCAGGCAGCTTTCATTCTGAGGCCTTCTCTCTTGGCTTGTAGACGGCCACCGTCTCTCTGTGTGCCTACACGATCTCTTTGTGTGCTCGTGGAGAGGGAGAGAAAGAGATCTCTTCCTCTTCTTATAAGGCCACCAGTCGTATCAAATTAGGACCACACCCCTGTGACGTCATTTAACCATATTACTCCTAAAAGGCCTTTCTCCAAATACAGTCACATTGGGGGTTAGGGCTGCAACATATGAATCTGAGGGAACACAATTCAGTTCATAGTACCTGGTGTATTTGGTCCTGTGCTGCTGTAACAAATTACCACAAACTGGGGGCTTGAAACAACAGAAATTTATTCTTGTAGTTCTGAAGCCTGGAATTCTAAGATCAAGGTGTTAGCAAGGCCGTGTTCCCTCTGAAAGCTCTAGGGGAAGATCCTTCCCACCTCCTCTAGCTCCTAGTGGCTCCTGGCATTCCTGGGCTTGCGGCTGCATCCCTCTGATCTCTGCCCCATCCCCAACCCAATGGCTGCCTTCCCTCTGTCCCTTCCCCTTTTCTTATATATATATTTTTTTTTAATTTTTAATTTATTTTTACTTTCTGGCCACGCTGCATGGCATGCAGGATCTTGGTTCCCCAGCCAGGTTCAAACCCGTGTCCCCTGCAGTGGAAGCACAGAGTCTTAACCACTGGACCACCAGGGAAGTGCCCCCCCCCCCACCTTTTCTTATAAAGGCACCAGTCATTGAATTTAAGGCCCACCCTTAATTCAGGATGACCTCATCATGAAATTCTTAATTACATCTGCAAAGACCCTTATTCCAAATGTGGTCACAGTCTGAGGTTCCTCATGGGCATGAATTTGGTGGGGGGCCACCATTCAATCTACTACCCTGAGTCCACACCTCCGACCCAGGCTCAGCCCTGGACTCTGCTGACAGGTTCCATGGCCCATCATGGATCTCTGCAAAAATCCGTCAGAGCTGCAGGATGTAGTTTCTGATAGGAATAGATGTGCTCATGCCAGGAACTGTGGCTTGCCATGGGCCTGCCAGGTTATGTGACCAAAGGAGATGCTTTATTTTTGAGAAACTATACTGTCTTTTAAGGAAAACGTGGGTCCCTTTGCTTGTTGGATGGTGTCTAAGTCTGGTCAAGCAGCTATAATGAATACCACAGATTGGGTGACTTGAAAAAAACAGACATTAATTTCTCACAGTTCTGGAGGCTGGACATGTGGAATCAGGGTGCTGGAAGATTCAGTGTTGGTGAGGGCCCACTACCAAGCTGCAGATTTTTCACTGTATCCTCATATGTCAGAGGGGGTGAGACATGGTGCCTCTTTTATAAGGGCACTAATCCCAGCTACGAGAGCCCCATCCTCATGACCTAATCACCTCCAGAAGGCCCCACCTCCTAACACTAGCACCTTGGGCATCAGGATTCCAACATGTGGATTTGGGGGAGGGGGGGACACAAACAGATGGGCTCTGTGTAAGAAGGAGGTGGGGGGATTGGAGGCCTGGGGCAAGATCTGGAGTGGGAAGACTGGGCCAAGGGGTAGAGAAGAATCCCTGACTCCCTCCCACCATGGGGACTTGGCCTAAGAATGATGGAAAAGAGATAGATGTGTCCTTAAAATGAAGGCTCTTAGCGTTCATTTGTCCAACCAGCCCTGACTCAGCATGGTTGGTAATCCCTAGGGGAAGGGCTAAGTGGTCTGGAAGAATTACGAGAAGAGGGATGTTTGCTGAACCAAACTCCGTCACAAATTGACACAACTGTCTACCCTTTCCACCAGAGGTAATTCCATTGATATTAAGGCAGAATATGACATTATTACATTCTGGAGTGAACAGACCCAATGTCATTTAGGTATTTTCCAATTTACTACTGTTATTGAAATAAAACACAGATATGGCTGTGGGGAGTTCCAGCTTATCGGCTTCAAGGAGAGCCCTGGGCTGGAAAGTTTGGCTCAATGCCCAAGGTTGTCATGGACGGTGGCCCACGGGGTGGAGGGTATTGAGAGGCCAGATACGGAGGCAGCAGCCTGCCCCAGGATATGGGGCAGGTCAAGGTCAGAGTCTGTCCTTCACTGGAGGAAAGGGGGGTGGGTGGTTAGCTCAGGAGGGTGTCCGTGGTCAGGGCCGCATGCAGATGGAAAAGGATGGAATCTGGGTATAGTGGGGCCGGGGGGATGCTAGTCAGTACAACTACTGACATTTATGGAGGGCTTGGTATAGGCCATGTATTGTGTTAATTATTTGTTCTATTACATCTTTATTCTCTCCCCAGTTGTATGGAATTGGTACTGCTATTACTTCCCCCATTTTACAGAGAGAAGAACTGAGGCCGAGAGCCAAAGTACTCTTTCCGAGTTTACAGTGCACACAGAGGCACAATTATGATTTAAACAGTGGCTGTTTGACTTCTGAGCCAGCCTCCCAACCACGGATTCAACAAAACTGTGTTGCCCTAAGTGCAGGGGGTACAGATATAAGACGCACAGAAGGACCTGCCTTCATTCCATTTTTGTAGAGGCAAGACAGACAGACAAATAAGGAGAATGCACACGGTGCCGGGTGGTGCCACGGGGCACAGAGGGCATGGCCGAACCAGTCCCTTCGGCGTGCACACCCTTCTCCAATCGTGCCTCTGATGCTCTCTCCGGCA